TTGGATCAACAACCGATTATAATAAAAGGTTCAGGAGACATTGGCATGAAAATGTCAGTTGTAAGTATTTTAATGTATTCATTTATATAATATATATTACATGTCCTGAATGGAAAAGGCACAACTCCAAATGCTCATAATAATAGTTTTGTTTCTTTAAAATAATTTGAGAAATATCAGTACTATCAACAAGTCGTTTAAAAATAGCTTACAAAGGAAGTAAACTATTTTGAATGATCACAACACATGAAGCTAGACACACTGTATGAACATCCTAACTCTGATTTTATTATGGGGCATGCCCTATATAAATAAACACTCTTTGAAAATGTTCCAGTCAAAACAAAGAAAGAATAGCTCTCTTCAGATATTTCGTTGTTAGAAGTTTTTTTCATTTCATTTGTCTGTGATAATAATCGGTGGATAATCTACACATCTGCCTGGGAGTTCTATTAGTATACATAAAACCTCAATGAAATTGAAAGGAAGTAGAAGCCTCACACTATTATATTCTGAAAAAATTAAAAATAATTACCTTGAAACAATCTTTTAGGTTCTTTCTCATCTAAAGTAAGCAGTTCTCTAGCAGCTTTACGGATTTTAGCGAGAACATATTTAACTCTCCATACTTCACGCTTGTTGCGAAGTCCAAAAGCACCAATTATTTTCAACTCCTGATCCAAACGTGCTTTTTCATAAGGACGCCTGGGAGTTACATATGTCTTGGAGTGAACCGAAGGAACCCTCCCGTTTACCATTTTGGCGAGTGGTCACTACAAAAGAAAACGAAAACATTAAAATATAACTGACCGTTTTGAATAACAAAAACTTGTATACCGAATTATTCAAACTGGTTAGGAGTTTCTGAAAATATATCTCGCACTGAATACAAGGTTTTCAAAAACATAACCTTAAAGTAGAGGGATCTCTATCCGCAAAGATTTTAGTCATCTTTAATATTATTTTGTAAAACATTATTTCAAAAATTTTTTTTTAAAGGAATGTCTTTGACTAGGTATTTATTTAGCAAATTTCTGAACATTTGTAATTCCTAAAGTATAATAAACTACACTCACCACTTCCTTCACCTCTGAAACTAAAATGAAAGATTACATGAAACGAAATCACGAAACATAAAACTTACAGCTTCAAATTTAAGCACAAAATACCATCACAGATAGTATACTCTGTTTTTAGTTCTGTGGATGGTCTTAACCACACATAGAACAATCGAAAGGATCATCATAAATATACCACTGCCGCAAGATAACAATGCAAAATCCTAGCAAAACGAAGAGAAAAATGATGAAAACACATTTATCAAATATTATGTTTGCAATTTTCACAATCTTCATCTGGAAAAACCTGTATTGAAAGGAACGATGACAAAAATGATCTGTCATTTGGATAATAATGAATCGATAGTTGAATGCGAACCAGTTTTCAGGGTCAATTATTTTGTATTTGTGAGAGGTAGATAAATTTATGTAGAAAAAATGTTTTCATTTTTTACCTACAATAAGTTATTCATTGAAATCTTTTTCTCAATGTTTTCTTAGGTCACTTTTTTTCCAACACATTGCTTTGTGAAAGTTCGCCGTCTAGATATGAAGTCTATCGGAAATATTAGAACTGAGGTGAACGCCGGAATAAAAACTGAATCGTTTTCAAATTATAGATCATTTTCGTCAAATATCTTTTTTCACAATAGTCATTTCAAAACAACTCTCATGAAATGAACATATTTCGTAAAAATTTCATATATGTCAATGTTACCTTGTTATAACGAACACGCTAAGAACATACAAATATCTCAGTTTTGAAATATTTTGATTTCACCAAGTATAATTTTTGCAAGTACAAATTAAACTTTGATCTCCTCATTATACTAAATTGAAAATTCTGAATTTGCAAACCTTATAAAAAACGTAAACTTGCACGTATCTGTTGCATAATTTTTTTTTATATCGCTACTCTGTATAACTGACCTTCTATAGTGCCAGTTGTTATATGTAGATGAAGTTTTGGTACACTTTAAGATTTGCTAGGAATCTTAGGGGATCGAAAATCGACATCACCACTTTCAAAACTTCTCTTTTAGATGATTTTCGTCCAGTATCTAAAAGACTTTCATCTATTTTATGGAAATTGGTTTTAAAAGTGAATGTGTCGTCTTTAGGATCGCAACAGACACCTAATATTCTTTCGTTTGTCGATTCATTTTCATAAAAATGTTTTTGGCAATCAGCTAATAACCTATCATCTACATCCTTTAATATATTTGAATCATTAGCTATCCAATTACAAATTTCAAAATTTCCTTTACTAGGTATATATGTATTACATGATTTATAATCTGTGTTGCTTCTTCTGCCGTATCTGTTCCTCCAAGATAGTCGTCCATGTAGTGAGCGTCGATTATATCCCTTGCTGCTTTCGGGTAGTATTGGCTGAAGTCTCGAGCATTTCTATTTTTTGCTTCTTGTGCTAAGCAGGGACCACAAGTTGAGCCGAAGAAAACAACGTTTATTTCATGTTTTGCCTTCTCCATTCCTCTGTATAAAATCCTTTGAGGGATTCGATCTTATTTTCTAACCTCGACCCTAAGAAACATTTCCTTGATGTCAGAAGTGAAACCAAACTTTTTTATACGACAGTTAAGGATAATGTTTTGCAATGAATTATGAAGGTCAGATCCAGTTAACAGAAAAGCATTTAAACTTACCCCATTGGACCTCGCAGAAGCATCAAAAACAATTCTCAATTTGTTAGGTTTGTTTGGGTTAGTTATTCCAAAATTAGGAAGGAACCAAATTCTATCCCAATAACTTTTGATCTCTTCAGAATCAATTTTAGAAATATAACCTTTACTTTCCATGTCCTGCATTTTCTCGATATAGTTATTTGCAAACGATTCGTCTCTATCCATTCTTCTTTCACTAGAATGAAGTCTCTTTAATGCATTGTCTCTACTATTTGGTAGAACCAGATCATCTGCTTTCCAAAGAAGACCTGTTTCATATTCATTTCCAACTCTTTTCATTGTTGTATCTAAAATTTGTTGAGCACGTAAATTTTCTTTGGACTTTCCTAATTCTACACAAGTCTCGATTTTCCACTGCTCCTTGACAAGATCATCCAAGAGGCGTTTTACTGGCTACAGGCCCATGTCAAGGTCCTGATATAACTTTTGTACTTACCAGTAATTGCGGATTATCTTGCCCAATCAAAATTTTTGGTTGAGCGTCAACTAATGACTTGAATCTGTTATTTATATATGGATAACGTTCAGAAATCTCACTAACATTCACCGTTTGGCTTGGTAAAGATAAACCTTTGATTGTTCAAACGTGACGCGCATAGAAATTTTAATTTTAATTTGAATGTGAATATATTTTGAAACTGATAACTCTTGAATTACTCTGTTCTTCCACTTGATAGTTTGTCCATTGTAATTGAAGAGGTTATTTAGGACCTGTGACCTTTTACAAAACCGTTTTGGACATTCAGAACATATCATCTCACTTTTATTAGACAGGGTTAGAAAGTTTCCTAATGTTAGGGATGAAAAACTAGATATGTTAGTAGAGTTCTCAGATGAAGTAAAGAGTCTTGTTGCAACCATTGAGACATTAGATGAAGAATACCATTTGCGCAATCCAATATTGTTAAACGAATAAGTGGACAAATTACCAACTTCACAAAAACTCATTTGGGTGGAATATATATCAAATAAAAGATCCAAATGCAAATTGGTTGAATTCACTACCTGTTTAGAATCAAAAGCAAATGCAGCATGCCAACTTTTGATTCCATGTACTTCTGACGACAAAGGTTGTACCTAATTCAAAAAATAAAATACGTAAAGATGTTACCCTGACAACAAAAACCGTTTCCAAAACTTGTATGTGTTGTGGAAAAGAAATTCATCATTTGACTGTTTGTCCAAAATTCAATGCTTTCCCAACAGATGAAAGATGGTCCTTCATAACATCAATAAGAATATGTTTTTCTTGTCTTTTTCCATTTCATAGCATCAAAAACTGTAGAAAAAGAAAATTGTGCAATATCAATGGCTGTCAAAAGCCTCATCATGAACTGTTGCATAATAGTATATTATGCAACGATCATGTAATATTAACCGGGATACGAAACGAGCCGAAGGCGAGTTTTGTATGGTATATGCGAGTGTATTAATAACCATTACATGAGAGTTGCATACGCTATTTTAGTTGACGCTCAACCAAAAATTTTGATTGGGCAAGATAATTGGCAATTACTGGTAAGTACAAAAGTTATATCAGGACCTTGGCATGGGCCTGCAGCCAGTAAAACGCCTCTTGGATGGGTCATACATGGTAATTTCAGGAATAATGATCAAACTGTACCTAAAAATTTCGTTTGTTATACAGATGGCAAGGTGAAGGACGACCTCGACATTCTACATGATAAAGTCATAGAGCAGTGGAAAATCGAGACTAATGTAGAAGTAGGAAAGTTTATGTCCAAAGAAGATTTACGTGCTCAACAAATTTAAGATATAACAATGAAAAGAGTTAAAAATGAGTATGAAACAGGTCTTCTTTGGAAAGCAGATGATCTGGTTCCACCAAATATTAGAGACAATGCATTGAAAAGACTTCATGCTACTGAAAGAAGAATGGATAGAGACGAATCGTTTGCAAAGAAATATATCGAGAAAATGCAGGACATGGAAGGTGGAGGTTATATTTCTAAAATTGATTCTGAAGAGATTAAATGTAATTTGGATAGAATTTGGTTCCTTCCTCATTTTGGAATAACTAACCCAAACAAACCTAACAAATTGAAAATTGTTTTTAATGCTTCTGCGAGGTCCAATGGGGTAAGTTTAAATAATTTTCTGTTAACTGGACCTGACCTTTATAATTCATTGCAAAACATTCTCCTTAACTTTCGTATAAAAAAGTTTGCTTTCACTTCTAACATCAAGGAAATGTTTCTTAGGGTCAAGGTGAGAAAAGAAGATCGAATCTCTCAGCGCATTTTATACAGAGGAATGGAGAGGACAGAACCACCAGATATTTATGAAATAAACGTTGTTCTCTTCGGCTCAACTAGTGGTCCCTGCTTAGCACAAGAAGCAAAAAATAGAAACGCTCGAGACTTCAGCCAATACTACTCGAAAGCAGCAAGGGATATAATCGACGCTCACTACATGGACGAGACTATCTTGGAGGAGCAGATACGGCACAAGAAGCAGCACAGATTATAAATGACGTAATATATGTACATAGTAAAGGAAATTTTGTAATTTGTAATTGGATAGCTAATGATTCAAATATATTAAAGGATGTAGATGATAGGTTATTAGCTGATTGCCAACAAAATTTTGATAAAAACGAATCGTCAAACGAAAGAATATTAGGTGTCTGGTGGGATCCTAAAGACGACACATTCACTTTCAAAACCAATTTCCATAAAATAGATAAAAGTCTATTATATTCTGGATGAAAACCATGTAAAATAGAAGTTTTGAAAGTGGTGATGTCGATTTTCGATCCCCTAGGATTCTTAGCCAATTTCATGGTACAAGGTAAAATACTTCTCCAAGATATCTGGAGAAGTAAAATCGACTGGGATGATGACATTTCCGATAACTTGTACATGAAATGGACAGAATGGATTGATGATCCATGATGAATTTTGCATGATGAAAAGGGAGAAAAGTACTCTTCAACTTCACATTTTTTGTGATTCTTCTGAGAACGCATACGCTGCTGAAGGTTACATTCTTTGGGAACAAAACAAAAATGTGAAAGTTTGCTTCGTGACAGCCAAAACTCGAGTATCGCTTCTAAAACCTTTATCAATACCCCACTTGGAATTGCAGGCTGCATTGATGGGAGCTAGATTGGGTTCTTATTTGACCAAATCTCTACAACTCAATATTTCAAGCACGTTCTATTGGACTGATTCACAAACCGTACTCTATTGAATACGTTCAGAAGCAAGACGATTTAAAATGTTCGTTGCACAACGTCTTGGTAAAATGAATTTCTCAGCTGAAAGCAGATGGATAAATGGTCCTGACTTTCTATGGAAAGATTTTGAATATTGGCCGAAAGAAGATGTTTGCAGAAAAGACTGTTCAATCAAGCAATGTTACGATCAAGCATAATTAGAAATGAGGAAAGATTTTGTTAGCGTAGAGACTGTGCTTAGTGAAATCCAAACTCCAAATCCAAACTCCAAGTTAAACATTTATCAAAATGGCAAAAATTACTACGTTCAACCGCATAGATGTTCAGATTCGTGAATAATTGCAGAAAAAACAGAAAAGTTGGGGAACTTGATGAACTGGAATTGGACAGAGCAAAAATTCAGTTATGGAAAAAGGTACAGTTTGAATCATACCCTAAAGAAATATTAGTTCCCAAAAGAAAGGGAAAAATGACGCCGTCAAATAAATTGTACACATTTAATTGTTCATTTGATGAAGACGTAGGACTGATAAAATGTTATGGAAGAATTGATATTGCATTTGTCGATAAAAACATCAAAAGGCCTGTCATATTGAATGCCAAACATGAAATCACAAAATTAATCATCAAATACCACCATGAACTCGTGAACCATCATGGTCAAGAAACAGAAGCCTTCGCAGAAATAGAGAACATTTTGAATTCCCGACTACTGACGCACGTATCAACTGATCCAAATGATTCTGATGCACTGACTCCAAACTATTTTTCATTGGGCCATTATATGCGGCATTACCTTGTTCAAAGATCGAAGAAACAAATTCATATCTCCTGAAGAAATGAAAGGCAGCTCAGAAGATTGCCGATATATTCTGTCAACGTTCGTCACGTGAGTATGTGCCATCACTAATTAAAAGAAGTAAATGGCACAATGAACAGAATCCTCTCAAAATAGATGATATTGTTCTTATCTATGAACCTGACGCACTTCAGAACTGTTGGCTCAAAGGAAAAATAGTACATCAAAGTACAGCAAAGGATGGAAAAATACGTGTTGCCGATGTTATGGCAGCCAAGAAAATAATTTTCCGAAGACCAGTCTCCAGATTATGTGTGTTGCCAGTACACGACCAGAACGAAAAGATGAGTAATTGTTGATGGGACAATTACTGAAGGGGAGAATGTTGGAGTTTATTTCTTTTATGTAGTTTAAAATCTTTACATTCTGTATAATTATATTTGATGTTTTGTAAATCTTCGATAATATGTATAAGTTAACTGTGACGTTGTTGAAATAACAAAACGGATATTCGGGAGTAACGATTTTATACGACTTCCGCCATTTCGTAAGGATGACACTAGGCATCGATATCGAAAGGCCAGGTCAGATTCGGACTGTCAGAGAAACAAGTAGTTTGAATGGGAAATATCGGATTTCCAGCATTGACCTTTCGACTGTTTTATGCGTAATCTATAACACTGAACCATAATTTTTTTTCTATGATTGTTGTGTTACTAGTTGAAAACCATCAGAATACAAACACATCGCATTTATTATTCAACAAAAACAGCGCTATTTCGACCCGCCAAAGGTCTCATCAGTGGTGCTGGGTTGAATCACAAATAAATTGCTGGACTCGACTGTCTTTGAAGGACAGACAAGCCCGAATAATCGAGGGCAATGATTTCTTCCCCTATGAAGCGTCATCTATGGGATCAGCCGTGAACTCAACTTTCGAATATTAAAGATAAACGAGGCTTCCCAAGGCGCTCAATAGAAGCTTCGACATCGACTGCCGACAGGATTCTTTATCTGTTATTCACTTCAACATCTACTGAAAAGTAACTAGTTGAAAATACAGTTCAAACACAACACATTTATAAATCAACACCAGACAACGCTGTTTCGACCCGCCATAGAGTCATCAGTAGTGCTAGGCCGAACCGCAAATGCATTGCTGGACTCAACTGTGTTCGAAGGATAAACCTCTGTGAGGACGACCGCTGATTGGTTTTCAACTAGTTGCCTTACAGTAAAAGCTCAGAGTAATAATAAGACATAGAGTTGCCATGCCTATACCAATACAATAATGTATTTTGAAACGGGTATCGTACTCTCCTTTTCTGTACAACTTTTGGGCGAGGGGGGTGGCGGGTAACGAGGGGTTATGGAGAGTTTGTTTACATTTGAAGTAAGTTGGACCATAAAACAGTGGTGGTTGGTTTAGTTGATAATCGGAGGGATATTATATATTTATAAAACAAATCATTTCAGGTGAACATGTATTTTGTTTAAATAGTTCCTACAGGAAATCTGATTTATTATTAATGATTATGGAAATGAGGTAGATTTTTATTCATGTATGGCTTTATAATAAAGCGCGTGGTTTACTAGGTTACAATTAAATTATTTTAAATGAACTAATTCAAAACAATCATAAATGTTAATTTTGAAAGTAATCGGATGAAGAACTTTGTGATTTATTCTCAGATTTGATGAACAAGCGGTACGATACAAAGAATTTTCGATTAGAAATCATGAATATTTATAATTAGGATTGAGATTTGATATTATTATGTGATTTCATTCAAAATTGGTATCTAGGGGTCTTTGTGGACCGACATTATGTTTTTCTTTCTCAATAATTCATGATGACATATAAATGCATCATGCATATAAATAGCGCGTCGCCCTGTCTATTCAGTCGAGGAATCGGTGAGTTTTTGATAGCGCGGAAACTCATGAAAATCCGTTAGTTAGGAAAGCTAGACGACCCCTCCCGATATAGAAGGCCCCGACACTCTGTCGAATGAGGCCCTCATGTCTCCCGTTAACGGATGAACAATTTTTCTATCCATCCCACCCCAGCCAGGTAGGGGTACACCGTGTAGGGCGGTACTGATGTCTGAGGACAGTAGATGAACAACACCGATTCTGGCCCAAAATCCCATGTATTTTCTTATGGAGCTAAACTTTTTGCAATTTTTGGTTCAAACAGGACTGGGGGAAACGTGTGACGTCATCAACGCAGGATGGAATGAGTATCGTAGCGATTCAAGCGTGGAACTCGGCCCCCTTAGTACACCCCCTCACATATCAGCCCCTTTAGTACTCCGCCCTTGGCCCCCTTGGGACCCCTCATCACCGCTCAGGCCCCCTTGTCACGTGTTTCTAATTAAAAAAAGTTTATAGTTATGAGAATCGAACCCACGACGTCCGCGTGGTAGATACTTTCCTTAGCCTCTACACCAATGTATGACACTGAAAGTAACTGTGAATGATGGGTATTTACAGCGTAAGTTTTGTCGGGACCGAAATCGACTCATTTTATATACTTGACCGCATTTTTCTGATTTCCGTAGAATGTTAGGGAAGTTGTAATCATCATTATCATGTTGAAGATAGGAAAATATACTTATATTTGGGAAAGAATTAATATTTCCTATAAAGATGTGTATGTGTGTGTAAGAGCGAGAGACGCGTGTGACGTAATCGAGGCAAAGAGAGATGGAAATTATATCGAGGGATTTTGGGCCAGAATCGGTGTTGTTCATCTACTGAGGAATTTCATACCGCCAACATCTCCTTAGTCATGAAACCCATTTGTCTCTCTGACAAAAACTCAGCTACAAGGGTAAGGGAGCTGGACTCCAACCTGATGAAAACGAAGATGACAGGAACAAACGCTTCGCCCTGTAGCGCTTTATGATTACCAGCGGTCGCACGCGTTAATATGTTGCACTCATGCGAAGTCGGGGCGGGTCGCTAGTGATTGTATACTCTTCACTCTCCTATGCTCAAGGTCTACAAAAGTTTCTAGTTAAGCTGGCTTCCTACCCACAATCCCCTCTAATTTGAAAAAAATATGTTATGATGTTTACAGTTGCAGTCTTGTGTCTTGTGTATTGTGGTTGACTTTCATTGACCATACCACAGTATTTTATACAGAAATACTGTGACCCTACTTTCACTTGTTTTCAAATATTTTTTTTAACTGCTACTACTGGTGTCTAAAAAAAGTCAAGGTCAATACATAAAAAACCTTTGAGTTTGATGTTCTTTTACCATTATACTTGTGATGGTGTATTTTGAGCAGTGTTAGCCATGCTTTCTTGCCGAGGAGTACAGAATTCTTCCATCCTTCAAAATATATTTCGAAGAATTTCTAAATGTAATGGAGATTTGCGTGTTTCAAATAATTTTGTTAGTACACTGAATTTTTCTGCGAAATCTCTAGAAGCGGATGGGACGCTATATTGGACTGCAAGGCCCAGGTCAGTATATTTTTTTTTCAATTTCAATCATTTATTATGTATACATAATTTTTGTTTACGTTTTATCTGTCACGTCTACCTAACCTTGTTTTGAAGGTTGTCATCATATCATAAACACAATTACATTTCAATGACTTTATATTATTTCCTGGATTAAACTGTTTAAATTTTAGGTCACGATTATTTGGATCAACAACCGATTATAATAAAGAAACTTTAAAAAATATGGCAGGTACCAGTTCTTCTAAGGAGCCCACCAAAACGAACCGTTTGGCACTAGAAAAATCTCCTTATTTATTGCAGCATGCCACAAATCCAGTTGATTGGTTTCCTTGGGGCCAAGAAGCATTTGATAAAGCCAAAGCAGAAAACAAATTGATCTTCTTATCTGTTGGATATTCCACATGTCACTGGTAAGGGCTATGAGTAATTTCCTTGAAAATTATTGAATTGTGAATCAAATTATCTACAAGTTATGAAGGTTTTATTCATATATGAAAAACCTTGCCTGGATTCAATGTCTTACCTAGAAATGTGCTTATGTTAAACATATTGGAATGAAAAAAAGTAATTCTTTCATTTAAACAACTTGTCAATGTTGTCATCTCTAACAAGAGATAGTTAAAATGAACTGAAAAATTTCCTTTCAGATACTAAACTTATTTTCACTGAATTAGAGACACGAAGAATTACCAACATGAACCCCTCCTACCCTAAACTATAAGGTATAATAAAAAGACATAAACAAGATAACCTCATAAGACTGATAGTTTCGTATATAAACAGTTCGGTAATAGAACTAAGGAGTATGTTTTAACAAGTTGTTCAAAAATATTACCAATTTCGTCCCACGTCACAGCATTAGAGATTTGCTAACATTAGTATAAAAAATAAGTAACCAAACCACGCCACATGATTCAGTTTTAGTTTCATTCGATGTAAAGAGTATGTTCTCCAACAACCGTATTAGATCAAGCCAAAGTAACACATGATTCAGTTTTAGTTTCATTCGATGTAAAGAGTATGTTCTCCAACAACCGTATTAGATCAAGCCAAAGTAAACCATGTCATTTCTTTTGAAATTTCGACGGCTGTCGATGTATACCTAAATCAGAATTACCTTCAGTTCACCCCTTAGTCCACTTACAGCAGTCACAAATTTGAGTTCTATGTATTCAGAAAACGGAGCTATGCACACATTACAATCCCAAGTGATTATTTCCATCCTGACAATCACAAATTAGCAGCCTAAAATTCAATGTTACACAGAGCATTCTCGTTACCTTTATCTGCCAACAATGTAGGTAGGGAAATTTGAATAATTATACAGATATGATATAATAATGGTTTCAACGCAAATACAATCCAAAAGTTAGTCAGAAAACAAAGCCTCAAATTCACGTACAGATTAATATACCCCCAGATCAAACAATCAGACATCAAGAAATTTGCAACTTCAACATATTTTGGTAAAAGAACAGAGACAAACCATTCCTTGGAATGCAACTACAAGTTTGCGAAACTAAACAATACGGAAATTTTGCACTATGCAAGCAAGGGTTAGAAACTAAATTATTTGGAATCCTTGAAAATTCATAGGCATTGCGGATGAAACCTGCTAAATGACCAAATCAATTTAGTTTAATCACCGGTTTTCAAATTAGCGTACCCTCATTGTCACAGGTGAACAAAATTCAGGTACTCAATTAAGTTAAGGACCTCTGTTATTACCTATAGTGACGTATAGATATATAATAGTTAATATTATCAATTACTTCAGTTTATTGTATTCGTTTGAAAATGTTGATATAGGACAAAACTGCAGTAACGTTAGTTACAAATACAAGTGGTATGAAAACAGAAAGTTTTATTTCTCACGTAGTAACGACTACATCCATCAATTTATTAAAATAGCTATATATGTATGTCAACAATAATCTATTTTCTTTATTTGAATAATTACATTTTTTTTTCAAATTTATTTTTTAGGTGCCATGTCATGGAAAAAGAATCTTTTGAAAATGATTCTGTAGCAGAAATAATGAACAAATATTTTGTTAATATAAAAGTGGATAGAGAAGAACGTCCAGATGTGGACAAGCTATATATGTCGTTCATTCAAGCATCCGTGGGAGGAGGGGGATGGCCAATGTCAGTTTTCTTGACTCCTGATTTGGAACCCTTAGCAGGGGGCACCTATTTTCCTCCAGAGGACAAATATGGGAGACCCGGTTTCAAAACGTTTTTAAAAAAAATTGCAGATCAGTGGCGTGACAAGAAAGCAATCCTTTCAAAATCAGGGAAACACACAGTGGAGGTACTGAAGAAAGTATCATCCCAAGACCAAAAGCAGTGCCAGACAGTTGATCTTCCAGGAGAAGAAGCCTGGAAGAAGTGTTTTCTGCAATTACACAGACATTACGAATCTGATTTCGGGGGTTTTAATTCAGCACCTAAATTTCCACAACCTTCAAATTTCAATTTTCTGTTCCACATGTATTCGAGAGATAAGAAAAGTGAACAGGGTGCTATGTGCTTGGAAATGTGTTTGCATACATTGAAGAAAATGGCTTATGGAGGGATACATGATCACGTCAATAAAGGATTTGCCAGGTAAACTTTATTTTTTTCATCTCAAGGACCAAAATATATTTCATAAAAAACATTTAATTCTATGTAAGATTTTTACTATAAATGTTTTTCAAAATAGACATGTTTTACTTTAGAATAGTCTATAAAAGATAAAACTGAAACTTCTGGCTCAGAATAAATCCCAAACAAGCACTTTAACAAAACTCCATAACTGCAATACTTTACTTCATCTCCTGTAGATGCCAATTCGGTTTGTGAACCGTGCGTCGAGAAGAGTATTGCAGTTTTGGTGTTTAGGAAAAGTGCTTGTTTTGAATTTATTCTACGTCGGAAGTTTTAGTTTTACCTTTAATAGATTACTCTTGCTTGGGCCAGATATTCTAAAGTTAAACAGCAACTTATGCAATAGGAATGATAAAAAAAACAAATAAAAATGCAATACTAATAACATTTAATCCATTTCCATTCAATTATCAGGATCCTGAGCTAGAGTACAGCATTAAAAACTCATCTAGACAAAAAAAATATTTACTATTCATAATCTGCCGTGAGAGCAGTAACCTATAGTAAACATGATGAAACTTGTCAACCATTATTCAAAGCTCTGAAAATTATGATTCTATTTTCAGCTTTTACATCTGAAAATCTCATAAATATTAAGGAAAACTCAAATAAAAAACCAGATATATCTCAACCAGTGACATGAAGATGTGCAAGAAATGCGTGTGTTTTCAACTTCAACTATTCAAATAGGTGCTAATGATATGTTAGAAACAAGTATTTTCAATCACAAACTTCAAGAAGTACACTTTAAGGATGCTAGATTTTCACGTAAGTGAAAATTTATACCAATGCTCTTCCATTTAAAACGTTGTGTAGTTCTCCTGTGAATGGTATCTGTTTCAATTCCATTAAGAATGTTTGGGAAACAGACTGAATGGAAAAAGTGTTTTTCATGTAAGTCAATGGTTCATGTGAAGTAGTTGTTTTGAGAGGGCTTTTTCTTCCAATTTATATCTAAAAAACTTCTGTACATGAACTACACATTTGAGAGTTAATTTTGAGCTTGATTGCTCTTCTTCTTTCTTCGGAAATTTCCTACAATTTTTTTGTATAAACTTGAAAAAATAGAAATTCAAGAAGCTTTTCTTCCCAAAACTAATCTCTCCCAAAAATTTCTATCCTCTCAATTCAAAAATTTCCCAAAACAAAATCAGGCACTTTCGAAGCAAATTAAGTAAACTTCATTTCAGTTTGAGATTCCAAACCTTATTATCAATAGGGTAATTGAACACGGTTGGAATATGCTTCCATTATTTGGTGTCCTCAATATAACTGTCACAAGTATAGCATTGAAAGAGTTCAAAACAAATTTCTGAGATATCTTCACTTCAAAGAAACAGGTAACATTGATATTTTCAAAGTAGTGTCCTTGAAAATTACAACATAGAAACCCTCGAGAAAAGAAGAGTATTTGCATACTTAATATACTTGAACAAGATGATACATAGTGAAGTGGATGATCTCTGTCTTCTATCAACAATCAATTTCAATGTACTTGCTTATGAAACTAGATCGTTTCGCACATTTTATATTGAATCATCAAGAAACAATTATTATTAAAATGCTTCTTTAAATGCTATGTGCAATGCCTATAATAATGTACAAAATGATATATCTTTTTCCAAAATCTTGCTAATTACAGAAATATGTTGTATCAAATTGTATAACTCGTGTTGAATATTTTTTTAAACTTTTTTGTCATATTGTTGATGCTCGTACCATCTACTAAGACTGGATTGAAGATCGATTCGAATCAATTTTTATGAAAATTTGTGTGGACTAGTTTTTGTCAATTTAAAGTAGCTGTGTTGATGTTTATCAACCCCAGAAACAACACATATTTATATATTGAGGAATTATAAAACTAGTTAAACATTTACCAACAATAATTTATCATTTTTGTAACGAAAGTACAGTAAAGAACCTAGATTCGATTCTTGTGGTACGCCTGGCGTTGGAATAAAAATATCAGAAATACTTATACTCGCACAAATTGCTTTCATCCACTTAATTATGACTTGATTACAAGTGGAGTTTCGACAATAACCAAGAAATCAATCTGATAAAAACTTTTTGAAAATCATTATTTACAATGTTTACCCGACCACCAACATATGGATCGATTCTATAACTTCTGCAAGAATTCATAAAGTACAGAACGCCTGCATTATATTAATATTCAGCTTGAATTACAGAGATCATGTGACCCCTTCAATCAATCAATTAAATTCGTTAAAAATGGAAAACAGAAGAGAATTGCATTTCGCCTGTTTCATTTACAAACTGATAAAAAAACAACAATCAATTCATTTGGGAAAGAAACTCCTTCCCAGACATCAGATACATTCAAGAAACCTTGGATTTAATAATAATTTTGACATTCCGAATCATAACAGCACCATCTATGAACGATCCTTCAAGTATCATTCTGTAACAATGTATAATTCATTCAGTGAATCTTATTCAAAAGTAAACTTAAAACTGAATTGCTCAGTCATCAGTGATCCAAACATAAACATTTGTATTTCATTTTACTATTGTCGTGAAATAGTCATTTATTATTTGTAATGTTTTTTTAATTATAATATAAATTTTCATTTGCAGGTACTCTGTAGATGACAGATGGCATGTTCCCCATTTTGAGAAAATGCTTTATGATCAAGCTCAACTGGCAGTGTCATACTGTGATGCTTATGTCCTCACAAAAGATGAATTTTATGCTGACATAGTAAGGGACATCTTGACATATGTTGCTAGAGACCTTAGTCATGAATTAGGAGGCTTCTATGGAGCTGAAGATGCAGATTCTTATCCATATGAGGGAGCACCTCATAAACAAGAAGGCGCTTTCTGTGTGTGGGAATACGATGAAATATTCAACCTACTTGACGAAAAAACCCAAGGAATTTCTCATGCCGAAGTTGTCGAATATCATTATAATGTCAAGAAGAATGGTAATGTCAAGCCATCTCAAGATCCCCACGGTGAACTCTTAAACAAAAATGTTCTGGTATGTTTTGGTTCTTTAGAGAGTACTGCAAATAAATTCAACACCACGGTGGATATAGTGAAAAAAATTTTGGGGGAATCTCATAGAATATTGTATGATGAGAGACAGAAGAGACCAAAACCACATGTCGATACAAAAATTGTAACTTCTTGGAACGGATTGATGATATCCGGTTATGCAAAAGCTGGTTTCGTTCTGAAAGATCAAACATATACAGATAGGGCTTTAAAAGCAGCTGAGTTTATAAAGAAATTTTTATATAATGAAGAAGAGAAAAGTCTCTTGAGGTGTTGCTACAATGGTGGTGAAGGCCAGATCGTTCAGACGTGAGTTGAATTAGTTTTATATCAATGGAAGACTTCATGCCATGAAACAAGTGATTTATATTTTTTGATTCGCCAATTTTGAACGGAGTACTGAATATTATTTCTGATTTTTGGTTCTTCACAAAGTTTTACACTATGGTTATTAATAATCAATATATGTGGTGTTGGCCGAAATAAGGTACATAGAGTGTCAAACAATGAGTTTGGACTTAACAATGATTTCAGACATTTGAAAGCATGCTCTTTCACATGAACTTCGTTAAACTTGCAAAAAAAATTACAATTTTATTTGGTAATCGTATGTTCAGAACCAGTCGGTTCAGTCAGTCGGTAGCCAAGCGGTTCGGCGTGGGTGCTTTGTTCACTCACTCGAATTGACTGCCGTGTTGGTCGGTGGTTCAAGCCCTAGTCTGAACGATCGATCTTCACTTGCTACCGTCCAACCCGTGTTAGGAATCACACGTTAAAAGGTAAGACCTCGTTAATCCTCAGCTCGCACAAGTTTCGACTTCTGAGGGTTGTCGTTCGTAGGGGTGCGACAGCTGGTTAACGGAAAAACAGATTTTAAAACAGACAGATAAGCTGAAAAAAGGTACAGGTACAGGTGCAACAGATTCCTAAAGTTCTACAATGCTAATGCGAGAACTATTAAGTTGGGTATCATTCAAATTTTCTTCAAACTCAGCATACTCCGTGTCACTGTTTTTGCTGTCCGATGACTGTCATCGGACAGCAAGCCATGTCGGACAGCAAGCCATGATGGTTAAACCTCTGAAGAAGCTAGCCACTCGCGCCAGCGAAACGTCAGGAAGAAATTCCAAAAATCTACGGCTTTCAAACTCGAAAAACAGTGACACGGAAAACCTTAGCCCCGAAAGTCTAAACTTTTTTGTCAGCATACTCCGTTTCAAAATTTTCTGATGTTATATTCAGACCAAAACTTGCAGAAGATTCATCTTCGTTACATACTGCATCGTATATCCCATTAACTGCTTTGAACTCTTTATCGAAAACCTCTTGATTCTTTCTAAAATTGTCACTAGCGTTCATTTTGATCAAATAGAATTTATGGAAAATAATAATTCACAATGAAATTCCCATGAAATTTACGAAACTGAAAGAAAACATTTATGGTAATAAGATAGAAAACCAAGAAACGAAAAGGTTACTTTAATCAGCTGCACTGTAGCCCAATCAAAGACTCGATAACTGAAGCTAACACCACACTACAACGAGAATGAACATCGTAGATTGAAGGAATGACGTTACAGATACCCTGATCAATGATATTAAGACCTTACGCCTCACTGAAGATGTATACATAGTAGGAAAACACTGCGAAACTTTGAACGAGACGAGTTTTTCTCGAAAACTTGTTTTCGTACACTATTTACCTTTTTTTGGCGAACACCACATATGTTGAAACAATTATTGTTTCAATATATGTTCTCCTTGGCAAATCAAATGATATAATACAACAGAGATTGAGCAACTGTGAAAAGAAATAAATAATGCAAATATGGCTGTGGAGAATTTAACCATACATATTTATTTATGCAGTAAAAATATCTCAAGGAAATTTAGTTAAAATTCCAAACATATACCACTTTGGATAAGGAAATTGAACTAGATCAATAAATATATGATATAGTTTAGGGAGGGGATTTGATATATATCAAAAACCTGTATCATATACTGGATGTCACGCAGGTAGCTAAAGCTGCCTTGGTAGTGACTTTAGTACAATCTCCAACTCAAAGAGACCTAACCGAAAAGTGCATCTGGCTTTTGTTGATGACTCTGCATTTGTGCTGTTTCCTGCAACCAAGTGTTGACAAACCTTGCACTTCATATATGGCTGTACCGTACTGATGACAACTAATGAGCCAGAAACACATGTCAACATGTGTGTGCGGTTTGCATTTTTCAGAGTGCTTTGTCTATGAATTTTCCCTAAACTATCATTAAGTTTACTTCTATCAGAATTAAATGTCTTCATTTTTCTACCTAGATACCAATTTTGAATGAAATCATGATTTCTAATCGGAAATTCTTCATATTGGACCTCACAAACCGTACCGTTTGTTTATAACAAATTAAGATTTATCACTGTTATGAATTAGTTCATATGAAATAATTTAATTTCAACCCAGTGAACCACGCGCTTTATTATAAATATTTTATTATGAATAAAAATCTAGTAGGTGTTAGAAAAACTGGCCTCATTTCCATAATCAGTAATAATAAATCAGATTTCTTGTAGGAACCATTTGAACAGAATACATTTTCACCTGAAATGATTTATTTTATAAATATGCTATCCCTCCGATTATCAACTAAACCAACCGCCACTGTTTTATGGTCCAACTTACTTCCCGTAACCAAACAAAGTTATGCTGCCTCTAATGTAAGGATGCAAAAGGCTTCTCTATTGTCTTTTGTTCCTCTGAGAGTGAAAGGCAAATATTTTTGATATTTGTGGATTGAGTTCTCTGTCGGTTGCATAGATGAAGTCTTCGTGAGGAAGGAAATTATTGTTATTGCCCTCACTTGTCCTCGAAGCACAGTTGTTGAGTCTAGCAATCCAGCGATGCATTTGTGGAGCACTCTAGCACCATTGTATATGGTGATGTCTAGTGTTGAATCACAAATGCGTTGTGTTTGGACTCTGGTTTTCAACTAGCTGCCTTTAACTGAAAACTGAAAGAGGACGAATGTCGATGGCTTTGCGACTGACCACCTTGGGGGGGGAGCCTCGTTTATCTTCGATATTCGATGACAGTTCTTTGCCAATTCCACTTCCCGCTGTCTGTCCGTATGTATGCTTAGATCTTCAAAACTACGGAACGGATTTTGATGCAGGTTTTTTTTTTCAGTAGATAGATTCATTCAAAAGGAGGGTTAATATGTATATAACATGCAAAATATAGTAGAGAAACACTGATAATTTTAGAAGTTAATTGTTAATTTACTTCCAATTAAGTACCTTGAATACATTGTGCATTCAATATAGATCAATATGGCTTTTTACAGCATGTGATTTAAATGAATATTTTCGAAGATATTGGGATACAGATTTGAAATGCAGGGATATAGCGATTGAGGCACTACCGGCCGAGGGGCGGCGGCGCGTGCATATAAATAGCTCATCGCCCTGTCTATTCAGTCGAGGAATCGGCGAGTTTTTGATAGCGCGGAAACTCACGAAAATCCGTTAGTTAGGAAAGCTAGACGACCCCTTCCGATATAGAAGGCCCCGACACTGTCGAATGAGGCCCTCATGTCTCCCGTTAACGGATGAACAATTTTTCTATCCATCCCACCCGGCCCAGCCAGGTAGGGGTACACCGTGAAGGGCGGTACTGATGTCTGAGGACAGTAGATGAACAACACCGATTCTGGCCCAAAATCCCATGTATTTTCTTATGGAGCTAAACTTTTTGCAATTTTTGGTTCAAACAGGACTGGGGGAAACGTGTAACGTCATCAACGCAGAGGATGGAATGAGTATCGTAGCGATTCAAGCGTGGAACTCGGCCCACTTAGTACTCCCCCTCACATATCAGCCCCCTTTAGTACTCCGCCCTTGGCCCCCTTGGGACCCCTCATCACCGCTCAGGCCCCCTTGTCACGTGTTTCTAATTAAAAAAAGTTTATAGTTATGAGAATCGAACCCACGACGTCCGCGTGGAATGAAATTTGGCGCTCCGGGGCGACTTCATTGATTCCAGTAGGGCATTTGTTTTTTCAGCTGCAGGAAAACCCGGAAAAACCTGCAGCACCACATCATCTGCAGATCTTGATCTGCCAATGTCCTCTCTCTCATAAAACAAAATGTAGGGTGTCTCCAATAAATTCACCGCATCGCCAGAAACTTAGTGACACGACTATCCTCAAACTTAAATCAGTCCATTTCTTCTTTGCCCAAGGCGTAATAATGACCAGATTCAACGCCAGAACCACAGTGAACAATGACTGCATGAAGATTATAATAGTGTTCTGCTAGATTGAAGTGTTGTATTATTCTAAGTACCTATGTTTTTTTTCAATTTGTATGTTACATTATCCCAACATGTAATGATTCTTGGGATTGATTCATTCATGAAACATTTATATTTTTTCAGGAACTTTCTACAAGAAAGTGTTTGCGGAATTGAAAATAAGCAAAGTTAATAAACGATTTTCACAGATTAGTTGGGGTATTGCCAGAAGCTGTGTACTTTTCGGTTGCCCCAAATGACAATTTCTTGTTTCACATCAGATTATAATAACATTTCAGCACATTTAACTTTAAACTTTCAGAATCTAGATTGCTTTATAGTTCAATTGAGAATAAGAACCTCATATAGGTATATCAAAATGCCTCAAAAGAAAAATTCCAAATATCATACAGCAGATTACTTTTAAATGGTTATTTACAACCCACTCCATCCCCTTATTCCACACAGAATTAGTGATTGTGATATGTAGAAAGTTTTATTAATGATTTAATTCTTTCATAAACTCTTTAGACAATGGAAGTCTGAACCTCCCAACATTACTTGTCTGATGAGTATATTCAAATTACTCAATTGTCATATATCCTGCCCAGATAATTTAAATTTTTCAAGTTCAGAGTACCAATGAGATCTCAATATTAAATTATTTCAAGTAGCATATGATTTTTACAAAAAAGGCTTCTATAATTTTAGACTAAAAGTAAATATAAGATATAGGATTTCATTTAAAGCACATCAATTTTTTCAAGTTGCCTACTTTTTTACTGGTCCGTAGTGCCAGCTGTTTGAAAGTTATTTGCTTCCTATTGACATATTCAAAAAACACTTTGAGATTTTCACTAAAAAATTTGACGAAAACACAACACGTTTCGCCATACATTGGCTTCTTCGGGCGTATCTTTATTTTTTGTAAAATTGTCTAGCGAAATTCTCACATCAAAGCGTTTTGAATAAGTCAGTTATGGATTTTCATCATGTATCGGTCAATCCCATCATATTGCTCCCAGTCCATATAAATAAGGATTTCGTTTGAATCACATATATTTTTTCATAGGTGACTGCTATATGTATTCGTCATAATGCCAGTTGTCACATATATTTGATGTCCATTGTTTTGAGTTTAAGTTTCTGTTTTGTCTATATTCATTTTCCATTCAGTTTTCTTAATATTTAGTTGAGGTGATGGCGTAAATAAATATGATATATTCAAAATATCTGAAAAATGTTATTAATGTAGATATTGATCTATTTCATTTGATTTCTCAACACGTTTCACTAACACAGTAGCTTTCTTGGTAGTAACTAGTCAGTCCATTCATAATTATTAGAATTAGTTTTCAGCACTTTCAGCTTGAGCTTTCCGTTGAAGATCAAACTCAGAAGCAATAACAAAGAACAACTTCTGAAAGTATGAATTTAAATTTTTTTCAACCACACACCTCCAATATCTCTAATAATCAAAAGGACTCTTGCTCAAAAAATATTACACCCAAAGATAACATTATTTTATTATATTAAAAAATTCTGATGAAAAGTTCTCAACGTTTTATTTTTTAAGAAATTACCAACTAAGATGTTAATTCATTGGTAAGTATAAACCCTAGTTTAATCTTCTTCTTCTTCGGGTGCAGCGGCACCAGTCTTCTTGGTGAGGTTCTTCCTCTTAACACGTCCAGGACGGCCACCACCGAATGGAGACTTCAGTGAGAAGTCGATGTGTTTCTGAGAGTCCAAACGGACAAGAAAAGAGGGAATGTTCACAACTTGTTTGCGAACTCTGAAAAGTAAGAATTACGATGAATTATTATGTGATGTTCCTTCAAGAAAAAGGTTGATATGAGAAGCTAAGTGTTATCAAATATATTGTTGCCTCGCAAGGTACCCATCAAGATTATAAAATCAGGATGGGGCATAAGAGCTGGAATCTTTGCTCTTCGAGTTTCTTTAGCACTGATTTAAACATGGTAAGATTCAACCAGTGACTCTAGACTCGGATATAATTTAATGTCATAAAAAAAAAGAATCAAGTATCATCAAATACTCCAAAATTTTGATATGCAAATCGTCATTTTGAAAAGTGGCCTTATTTCTTCATAAATAAGGTTTCATCATAGCTATCTTTGAATTCTGAAAAGTAGCTGGTTCTGTACAAATACGAAGGTTTAAAAAACAATGATAATAGTTTTTAGAATATTGTTATTAGTGATTTCATCTGGTGAAATGTTAAAAGTGCTAGTATAGGACAAAACTGCAGTAACGTTAGTTACAAATAAAAGTGGTAAAAACATAGAAAGTTTAATTTCTCATTTCTTCATTAGTTGAAATAACCTCCTCCGAGGTAGATCATATCATTTCTTTTTGAAGACCATCGTATTTTAATAAAAATCCTACATTTCGATAACACTTCTGTTGAGAGTAATGACTTTTTTGTAACATGTTGAAAAATAGTCAAATGTTAAGAAAAGCAAAAAAGTTAATCAATAAATTATTATATAAAATAACTTGTTAATAATAAGTACCCTGAATGAGGAACTGAATATTGGTCAAAAAATTCTTCTTTTGACAAGACTTTTATGAATAATAATAAATGTACTTAAAAGAGATAACCAGCATTACCGAATGTGTCCTTGTCGTATCAGAACCCTGGCATGATGGATAGATTTTGCCAATCCAGACTTGAAAACCTGAGTTTGGAGACGCCTCTCTAAGAAATCTTCAATTTTGAGACCCAATACATAATCCAGTTTCATTCTATTCTCATCGAGTACTCCAACTCTGACCAATCGACGAAGAAGTGCATTACCTGAAAAAATAAGAATCTGCTTGATTTACTATTTCAAATGAATTAATCCATATAAAATTTAAACCAAATGATTTATTACTGATTGAATTTACATTACGTTTCGGCAACAATCAATTGCATTTTGTTACTGGTGTCTCCACAACATTCGGTACAGACAAAAAAATATTCAATCAGAGCGTGGCACTGGGGCAACAAAAAATTACAATTAAAAACTAGAGATAGGCATGAAACAATCGACTATTAATACCTAAATAACCAGTTAGTGTTAGGAGTACAGTGAAATTATCTAAAAGAACAATTCGTTAAAGCCAATCTCAAGTCGCCTGCAATGTAGGTTAATGGACTGACACCAATCAGAAAACAACTACTCCCAACGCCCTTCGTGGTATTAGCCAAGGAAGTTGACACTGGCTTGAACGAATTTTTTTTCTAAATATTCAGATAATTTGATTTACAGTCAGTCTTCAAGTATGCCCCCTTACTATATGTGAGAATACAGTTTGTAGAGTTCTTTAAATAAATGGACAAATTGAAAGTGACAATATTACAATAGTTTTATTAAATAACTCAGTTTAATCTACTGAATTGCTCAATACAAATTGAAAGCATCCATTAAAGTTTTTTTATGCCATCAATCAAAGGTTCTAAACAATACGAATTTTGGTGTAAATTTAGGAGCCAGTACTGTATTGTACTGGCCATGGATCATTCTGTGTACTGTACATATTGTCTTCCTGTTCAAAAACACTTTTCTCACCATAACAAAAATGCAAAAGTAAGCATCGTCAGGAGACGACTAAAATATTTTAATCATCTATGATGCCCACTTGGTCAATGAAATATGCATTCAGAGTCAGTACTTGTGTTCTGGTGTGGAGAAGTGTTTTCAAAACAATGTGAAATATAAAAAAGAAGAACAACAATAGTTAACGATTTGTTTTTTGATGCATTACAAAAATAAATTTGCTATCAATATTTACTACCATTTCTTTCATAATTTGAAGGTTCTAGTCAAAAATAAGTACAGCAATCAGGTTTCCGAAATCCAGATTAGTGATTATCTATTTAATATATTTTTAGGTTCGGAGCTTACCAAATATTGAACATATAGAGTACAACTTTACTCTATTTAAAAATAGAAATTACTCGAGCATATTTTCAAAATCTTTCCCAAACCAAAAAATAAATATAAAAAAAAAGAAACTTTGGTAATACAGGAAAACATATAGAAATGTGATAAGTGCTGCGAAAAAGAAATATCAAAATAGATTTGATAATGCTGATAAAAAAATGAAAGAAGGGTGGAATATAGTTAATGAATTAAGAGGAAAGCAATCTAAAGGAAAATCCACTAACACAGCAATAAGTCCCACAACATTAAACAACGACTATTGTTCAATAACCGCAAAATATGCAGTTGATACAGTCTCGAGCAACGACCCAATTACACATTTGAAGGGTGTTCAAATAGGTCAAACATTTGATTCAATCCCCATTGACCTATTTGAAGGGTGTTCAAATAGGTCAAACATTTGATTTAATCCCCATTGACCTTGAAGAGGTTATTCGAGAAATTAGAAATAAAAGAACATCAGGTATTGATGAGATGTCTGTCAAAATCACTGTCAGATTGTGTTTTGAACGTTCTTGTCTCATTGATAAATGATTCTTTTGTGAATGGCTCATTTCCTGAATTTTTAAAAATTTCTGTAGGGATTCCGCTCTTCAAAGGTGGTGCCATGGATGATCCAATAAACTACAGACCTATATCACTTGTTCCGACCTCCAGACTATCAAGGTTGCAAGTGATGTTAGCGTCTCCAATCAGGCGGATGGCTCTTTCCTGGATGGAATCCAGCAGTTTCAGGGAATGTTTGTGGGCGGAGCTCCATACATGAAAACAATACTCCAAAGAAAGTCTGATCTGAGCTTTATAAAGCATCAAAAGTTGCTCCAACAAGCTTATCGAATCAGAAAGCGAAATTGTCTGACCTGACTATTTTATATCCGGTTCGGAGACATTTATCTTTTTGGAGAAAACCGATGCCTGCGTTTTTGTGGCATTGAATTGAACCTGGTTACTTTCACCCCAATTCGAAATTATTTCTAAATCCTCATTAAGATATTCAACCTCCTGCTGCCGGTGGATCCACAGCCCATGTCCTGGAATCCAAATGTAATGACGAGACAAGTGTGCTGTCGTCAGCATAGCAATATGTTGGATTCTTGTTTTTTTTCCAATAAGTTGTTGATATACAATAAAAAGAGAGTTGGAGACAATATGGATCCCTGGGGAACACCAACGTTGATGGTAAAAGTATTCGAGAGATATCCATCAACGACCACTTGCAGGGAACGTTCTTTCAGGAAGCTGAAGAGCTACACACAAAAGTGATCCGAAAAGTCATAGCATCGAAGTCTGACCGAGTGTGGTATGACCCTCATACCACACACGGTCAAAGGCCTTAGATATCAAGTTCAACAGCTCTTCACTCTCCATGTGTCTCGATTGCGTTATTATTCCAAATATGGGTGACGTACGATAAAAGGAAGCCTGCCGATCATTGTTTTCCGAAAGCCATATTGATGATGCTCAAGATGNTCAGAAGGAATTATTTCGAAAACCACCCACTTTTTCCATCTATGTTCCAAAAATAATTAGATAACCAATTCCCATATTGAAAACAAAAGTTAGGAAACTATAAAGTACTCGTAGTCTGATTCTATTAGGTACCTATATAAAAGGGAATTTATAGTTATTGAAATTTGAAATGTATTATACCTTTTTTTAGCTAACAAAATAAACGTTGATTCAATTTTCCGCTAAGAAAAGTTAAATGAGAAAAAAATTTCACACCCGGGATGTTTCGCAACTTTCCTCGTAACTATCTGAAGGTATACACAACTGCACAGTTAGTTCATGCACCCCTAAATGATTATGAAACCAACCTGATGTGGACAGATCTGTTTCCAAATACAATGAAAACAAAAACTGAATCAAAACACGAATTATTTGGTAAAAAACCAACCGCACCACTTTAAAATAAAAGCAAAAATATAACCTTAAATCAAAGAAAACCGAGAAATAACAACAAAAACACGACCACTTTCACTTTGCGACAACAGCCAACTGTGGGCAGGAGAATTTCCCTGCTTTTCATTTTTCCCCAAACATTCCATCCCCCATTCTCCAACATCCAGTAGGTGGCTGTGGCAAATCGTCAATACAAAGAATAGACGTTAAAATAAAGTAGAAGTTGATTAGCTATCAAACACATATTTATAAGTTCCCGTGTTGAGAAATGTTGGTATTTCGGCATTTCTGAGACAGATTTATCCTGCAATGAAATATTTCATCGGCAGTTTTCTTGGGGAAGAATTCCTCTATGATCGATATCCTTATCCAGTCGCTCAGTTGTTGTGTGAAGTGAATCT